AGTAGTATCTTCTTCAAAATTTTTTTTTTTTTTTTAAATCTTGATAAATATCTAAGTTTCTGAAGAACAAAAACATGCTAGAAAATGGATAATCAAGAAGCCATATACTTCAATGGCCGAAAAAGAAGACATAATACTTGTACTCAAAGACAAGCACACAGAATAAGAGAAGCAGAGAGATGATCATAATAATTGCCTTTAGGGGCGGTTGGCTTGAAGATGGCTGAACCCTCGGCTTTTTGGACGCCCCACCAGTGGCTTTACTATTACACTACATAGGCCAAAAAACAGAAAAACAAAAATAAAATAAAAGAAAGGCAAAAAACAAAGGAAGGAAATATGTGTAATAGTTAAATGAAATTTAAAGAATTTTCCAAATTTATATATATATATTGCTATGTACCTCAGATGAATGATCTGCGGCAGGATGCTTATTGGATCCATCTGACTTGTTATAAGAGAAGTCTAACATATTATTGCTGCTCAAGCTAGTAACACAAGATCTGGGAGAAGAAACTGGCATGATTTGTGGCCAATTAGCTGCAGGTCTTGGTGCTTGGAATTCTTCATCTCCATGACCGTACACGTTGCTATTTTGGGACACCTCTTGCTTTACATCAACAAAAGGAACCCTGGAGGATGGATTCAGGATTTGGTCTTCCCAATTTTCCAACTTTCTCGGCTGAAAATGACTCAGCTGACCAAACCTATCTTCTTCCCCACTGGACAATCCACCCCTACAAAATAAAATCCAGCAATCATTGCATTAGACATACTCTACTGAAAAAGTTACGTGTTTGGATAATAAGCAGCAGGATTGGTATAAAGCTCACATAGTGTAGATAAGCAAGGTATACACCATAAAAAACATTAATTCTGGGGTGAGGTCATGAGTTTTCAAAATTCTGCAATAACTATATAATAATTAAGCACTAATATATCCTTGCTATGGAAAAACTTGAGAAGGTGATAATCTAAGGATACATAGTATTAGAGACTAAAGGGAGAGAGTAGAGAGGTTATCAATTCCTAGAAAAGAAAATCACTAATGAAAGTTTTTTGTTTTTTTTTTTGGCATGACTCAAGAAAGTTTGATCTACCTCAAAATTTCCAAAGCCTTCAATCTTGAAAAATAAATTAAGAGATAATCAAATATTAGGAAGATAGAAGGCTATATAAAAAGGTGACAAAAATGATATAGATCAAAAGAACCCTAGAAAAGCAGGTTAAAGCAAGGTAGGAGCATGTGTGTAAGAAACCATGAGAGAAAGAGAAGAGAGCTCACAGGAGTAGTTGGCTCCATGACTGTGGAAGCTCTTGGTTATGATCAGCCAAAGAAGAATTCTGGGGATGTGTTGAAGATCCAACTACAAACTGAGGAGGAAAAAAGGAAGGAGATGGAGATAGCAAGGTAGAAGGCTGTTCTGAAAGTGGATGCATGCTCCACCAACTAGGGTTTCCAGCCATCATTTGTTGCACTGAATGATTCAGTTTTCCTGCAACCAACACTTCAATTAATTCAAACCTTCCAAAGAACCCCCTCAAAAAAATCTGTGTCCTTTCCTTTCCCTTCTCTTTCACTTTCTCCCTTCACTTTGTCAAGTTCCTTGTTTACGCTCCCAAACAAGCCTTTGCCTAAAACTTTTTAAGACTCCCTGTTTGCTTTCTCTCAGATGAGGCTGAAGAAACTTGAGTCCATGTCTTGAAAGAATTTTTATAGAGGTGGGGTTGGGAGAGCCTTTGCATATGTTTTTCTCTTTCCATCTTTCTTTCATTTTTTTAGTATTCCTTTTTATTCCCCTGCTTTTGCTTTATTATAAAGTGGGGGCAGAAAAGCTGGGGTGGGCACACACTCCATAAACCATTGGATTGTAGGAGCTTAAATCCTTGATTTGGGGTGATGTTGTGCTTTGGGATTGTTTTGGAGGTCTTAGATTAGGGCATATATGAATGATCATAGCATTCATAATTAACTTGATACATTAATTGTACATCATGCTTTCTCTATTCTAGTGCAATAATTCTACTCAAAAACAAAAATACAGAATTTAATTATAAAAAAATATTTTACAGATTGATATATTTTAATATAATTTAAATTGTAAACATGAAACTTATTTATAATTATTTACTTAAAATATTGATTTTTTTTGGAAGGTTTTTCATTTCCTTGGGGAACCCTCTCTCGCACCACATAATGGAACCGTAAGTTTTGTTTATTTAATTAGTGTGTGGGTTGAAGGCGGCTGGGTGGCACTTATAGTGCACACATGCTTCCAAGGGAAAAGTGGGGATCGACCCATCTTCATCATTTAACTAAATTTGGCGTGATTAGTTTTCTTCAGCACTGTGGAATATCTTAGTTTATAGATCAATCAGATAAATCTCAATATAAGTCTGTTGATTTATCTCATAATCACTTGAAAGAGCCATATAAAATATGCCCAGGGACCACCAAGGGGTTGTAGATTGATCGGTGAATGGTAAAAGAATTAGCCCTTTACCTTAATGATCAAAGTTTTTATTTTTAAAGATGTTACAAGAAGATAATTTTTTATAAATTTATAATAGATAAAAGGAATTCAATTTTTATTAAAATTCGAAATACTTATTAGGTAGAAGAAAAAAAGCCAGATGTAAGTTGATATTTAACATAAGCGTGGGGAACAGCCTATGATGGCTTTAGTGAAGGAGCGAGCGGATGTGTTCGAGGATCATCTTGACTTTGGGAGAAATGCAACTATATTCAGAAGGATAATACCATCCACAAAAGTTTTCAACACACAAAATCCAAAACAAAATTGACTAGGTTGACTAGCTAGCAGAATTCAACAAACTTTGATTATTGGTCGCATTGGCTTTGCTATTGACATCAACTTTGTCATCTGAATTTATCATTGTTTTGTCCAACAAATTCTATGCGAACTTGAAGTTTATTACCTTCTCTATCTGGGTCAATTTTAGTGAACAAGACTTAAAAAAAAAAAAAAGAGGTAATTAAAAAGTTGCGATGCTTTGAGGAGTCCAGATCGGAGGAAAATGTGTTGTGCAATCTAATCAACGCCCGGACTACACAACTTAAAACCATTGACAAGGGTAGGCTTCCCTAAATGTAGGATGATCCTCATTCCATCAATGGTCCTGGCTGTATTGCAAAACCACTCTCTTTGTTTAAAGAGTTGCGTGTAAAACTCATACATGTAGAAATAGATCTTCACACTTGTTTAAAAACTCGAGAAAAAATTATCAAATATTTCTTCCTTCTATTTTCCTTTCGTCTCAAGCAAAGCTAAAAACTATAAACAAAAATCATAGAAAAGTACTGTTCCAAGATGAAAATTAGTGTTATTCAAGCGCCGGGAACTTTTGCTTTTACTACAGGATTCCTTTTGGGGAAGATTTGATGCAACGAAACTTTACTCCTTTAAACTATATATGCCTTCACCTACTACAGACCGAACAGGACAAAGCAACTATAAATAACAAAACAAAACCGCAAGAAACACGCGGATTCAACTAAAATAGCTTTAATGAGTTTGAATAAAATATATGCCTGTTAAAAATGTGACAGATGACAAAGAATGATCAACTCCATTGGGGAGCAAATGCTTTCAAACAAAAAAATTTAGTTCCCAATTTTTACCTGTAAGTTGTAGGTCATAGATTGCCATTTGGGCGTTTCCTTCAGATATCTTAATTTACAATATATGCTTTACTTCGTTCATTCTCCTCTTTGAGTTATTGAGTGTGGGTTTTTGACTCAATCATACCACCTTGCCGTTGCATGGCAACAACTGGCTCGCTACATCTTGAACACCGGAATGATGGAGCTGCAGCACATCGTGTTCTAAGGCAGTAGTAACAATACCTGCAGACAGGAAACAGATCGTAACTAAAATCAAGCCAGACTTGGAAGTTGAAAATGATTGTAAACAATGCCAAACTGTGAAATATATATCATCCAAAAACCTCAAGGGTAGCATCCATAGTGGTAATGAATTACTACCTATCAGCATTTTTGTTGGACCAGTTCTATATCTATCATATTTCACACACAAGACGTCCAGTGTAGGAACGTACAGGCCTAATCATTTCTAATCTGATCCTAAAGGGTCAATATTTGTTACAAGGAGCGAAATTTTGGCACAAATTTCTTCATCCTGTTTAGGACTTGACCCAAGGTAGTTTCCAAATAACAGACTGTTATCAAGTATGAGGGAGAATTCAGTTGATGTACCTGTGCTGACAAGGGAGGGCAAGGTATGGAATTGTTGGACTCGCCTGGCAAATAGGGCAAGAAGAGACATCCTCCGAAGAACCTGAAGATTTATCCTTTGAAAATGGACGAAGCAAATTTTTAATGGTTGGTGAGTTGAGAAGAGGGAGAAGCAACAATAGCATCTCCTGCACATTAGAAAAAGAAAGAAGCATTAAAACACATCCATCTAAGAAGATAGCTCCAAAGAAACTATGGCAATTTGACAAGTAGCTAACAAAGAAGAAAATCTTTTATATGTTATACTAAAGTCAGCTACTCATGATGGAAAGGAAAGAAAAACAGAAGAGGATAAATCTGCCAAATAAAGAAATCAAACAGTCCCAAGGAGACACACAACTGGTTTCAACCTGGAACTTCCAATTGGAAGGGAAGGAAGGAAGCTTTTTATTTTTAATATATGGGAGCATTACACCCTATTTATAGCCAACAATCTTTTGTATCTGAAAAACAATAATTAAGAAAGACAAACTAAGTTTGCCAATCAAAAATAAAATAAAATAAAGATAAACTAATAGATAATATCTTCAATCTCATACTTTCTTTTTCAAGGCCATTCATACTTAGTACGCACAGTCTCTAAGGGAACTGCAACACAATATAACCAACACTAAAATGAATTTAAAGAAGATCATCATTGTCCTTGCTATGTTTATAAATTTCAATGCATTAAAGATAAACACCTAGATATCCAAGCAATATAAATGCATAACTTTACTTGCTTTCCTATCTAGTTGTCTTTTTTGGTAAATGCTTTTGTAATTTTCATCACAGAGCATGCATATGAACTGAACAAGAATAGATATAAAGCCAACTGCAGGTTGCAGAGAACAAAATGTCCCCAAATAAGATATGAACTTCAGTATATTTTGATGGGACAGTTCCTGATGCTAACCCTCAAGCTATTTGATGTAGATGCTCACAACAATAGGTAAACAATCAGAATTTCAAAAAAGGCTTACATGACTATCTACCCATTTTAAATATAAGAGAACATAGAATTTTATATAAAGCTTTTAGATAATCATGTACTGGATTCTAAACTTGATAATCCAGGAAAATGCTTACTGAGAATTCATTCCACACTAACTGGCGATTCATGTACTCAAAGCTAACAGCTCGATTCATGTTAGGGCTCCCATATACAAGCCTTGCTCTTAAAGCTCTTTCAATGAGGTTCCTATAACTGCAGTAAGAAAAGAGATGAAAAGTGAATAACTGTCACTTGCTTACCAATAGAATAACAATATCTTGTCAAGCTAGAAATTTCCAACTTCTAAATTTTATGTTGAATTAGGAAGAGTCATCTATATCAAGCCAATGTTCAACAAATAAAAATATCAAGATGGCATGCAGAGAAACTTAGGAAGACATTATGTAAAGTCACTTGTTTATTAGAGATTACATTCCTCCCATTGTAATTTTTTATCAACTTGAGCTTCCAGCACACACACACACACACACATATATATATTTGATTTATTCCTAAATCTTTACAAGTTCAAGAAAAACACTCTGAAACATACCTTCCTGTATAAAGAAATATGAGTAGGTTGCCAAATGAGGCAATCCTGTAAAGTCCTTCAATGCGTTGTATCAAACCCCAAGCTCGCCTTGCCAATGGCCTCTGAAGAAGAAAGGAGAATCACTAGAGAGTCCAGCCATGGTCCATTATTTCCCAATAAAAGGAGAACAAGAAAGAAGCACATAGAAAAGTACCTGTTCAGAATCACCCCATCTACGAAAAGCAGAGAATGATTGTAAACGAGCCCAAATATATTGACCACCCACAGTGGCAATGCAATACCATATCTTCTGAGCAACAGTTAGTCCAGGCCCTTCCAAACCCGTTCTGACTACATGGAAGATTAAGGCAGAAAAGTAAACATTCAAGTAATGCTGAACAAAGAGAAAATGTTAACTAAGAGAAACCAAAGGTGACACTTAGATTAGTATGTACCATGTTTATTGGGGTTCAACAGATAATTCAGAGGACAAAATATCTCAATCAGAACAAGTCAACAACCAACAACTTAACATATCTGCTTTATACCTCTGCTCATCAAAATATCCCACTTAATTCAAGCATGAGCTCAGGCTCAAATAGGCATTTTGGCAATTAGAGCTGAACAAAAGCTTGAACTTGAAAAGAAACTCAAACTAGCATTTTTTACACTTCTATCTCACTTCAAACTCTTGTTTAAATCTATGAAGCCAATCATAACTTAAGTACCATAGAAAATTCTTATAAAGACATAGAAATGTCAGGAACAATGCTGAAGCAGTCTTTCAACACCATTGCAACCAAAATCTCTAAAATCAATTTATATTGAATAGATTAAATATATTAAAAGCCAACCATGCTTAAGTAAAGAAATACAACAGAGTTCAAGATGCTCTTACCTTTTCCTCTTATTTCCATAGCACGTTCATCTCTATATCTGAGATTCATGAGACCAATTCCAGGAGTAGGCTTATCTACCCAAATCGAAAACCTCCAAATGAGAAACTCAAGGAAAGCATCAAGTTCTGGTTCATATTGAAATAACATTCCTGGCTAATTCCAACAAAATGAAGACACAAAATTAAACATCTCATATAGAAATTTCATTTTCTACACCACCAATTCCTTGATTCCAGCAGCACAAGTACCTTTATCACTGAGAAGACTTTAACCAACTGTTCTTTTAACATGGCTGACATCTCAATGTCCAACCTTGCAGCGTCAAACTGATTAACTCTAGATATTGATATTGGTATTGTTGAATGCTGAAATAACCAACATCAAAGTAAATAAAACAACTACACAAGTTGCATATCTGGTAACAACAATTCTACTAAGAAAAACCCAGATACAATATTTCCACCACTTCCTATCTAAACTGAAAGACTAAAACTTTTTATAAAACTTCAGTAAACATACAAATTCAGTCTGCAAAAAACCCATATTTATAATAAACACTTGGTATTAACAAAGATTGGCAAGTTCCGGAAACAGGCATTTGCACGACCCAAAACATTTAAAAGGAAATTACTTTCTCAAACAACTAGCAAATGAATTTTCAGGGCATTTAACAAAGAATCAAATTGATGAAACATGAAAGCAAAGGAAATCTAAATACAAGCGACCCAAAATTTTCCGAATAGAAGCGCAATCAATTATCAAAATCCAGGCTTTCTTTTCTCTTCACCGCTCCCCTTTTCCCGTTCCGTTTCTGAAGGAAAAGATAGTAACTGTACCTGCCGAGACCGAGAAACAGATTGCCAATGAGGAAGCAGCTTCTGGTATGTAACAATCCAAGCATCTTCCTGCGGTGGGGTTGGTAATAGATTGGCGGTACTGATACTGCTCATTTGATCAGATTAGGAGCTAGGGTTCTTGCCCTTTTTCTTCTGCAAAATTTTTTTTGGTGGAATTTTTTTCTTTAAGGCTATTTTGTTCTCTGCTGATTCCAGTGAAGGAGGAGGTGAGGTTCGATCTGAGATGATCTACTTCGCAATTTGTGGCAGTAACGTGGCAGTAACGTGAGACACAGGGACACAAATACTCTTGTAAATTTTCTCAAGTTAAAAGGGTATAATAGTCTAACAATTAGTATTATTTTTTGGGAATATCATTGAATTTCCATTTTAAAAAAACCACTAATTACCCATTGATAAAAAAAATTATATATGCCACTAACAACGTAGCAACAATGCAACATCATTTACAAAAAGAAAGACAAAATAAAAGGCGAAAAAGGATGTATCCACCTCTTTATTCTATTGATTATTGAAATAAAATTATATTATCAATTTGAGCTAATTTATTTTAATTAAATTTAAAAGAGTTAATTTTATTCAACTTAAAAGTAAAAAGATGATTAATTTTTTTCAATAAAAATTATAAATTAAAATCCTATTGATTGAAAACTTCAATTGAAATCATGTTAAAGACAAAAGAAAAAAAAAATTATCAAAGTGAAAACATTAACTAAGTGAAATGAAAATTTTCATAAAGAACTCCAACGTAGGAAACTTAATTGTACAATAAAAGTTTACAAAATAACTTATGGCAATCTGATTAAGGATTTCGCTAAAAAAAAAAATCTTTAAATTCTAGATTTCTCCAAAATATCCCTAATAGGTACCCAAAATTTATCTCAAGTCATCAGTCTATCAACACAGCTCTCCATACAAAACCTTAAACACATACTCCCCACCCATCCCCAACACTTTAATTAGACCCCACCCCACTTTTCTTGGTCACATACTGGCCCTTGTCATCATCGCAGTCAATCCCCTCCTTCCCTCCATTCAAAATTGAACCATCATCTCTCGTTTCTTGTCCGTACGCTACAACCCACCATATCAGTGTACAACGCTAAGCTCTGTTGACTCAGGATTTAGGAGTCTGTTTTGTCGTTGGTTTAGAATTATTTTATTTATACCTCGTTGTGAGAACTGAGAAGGCAGCAGAGTGCTGGGCAAAATAAGCTTTCGTCGACAGCAGGATTCGAACCTGCGCAGGCATAGCCCAACAGATTTCGAGTCTGTCTCCTTAACCACTCGGACATATCGACAATTGTGCTTTACCTCCCTAAATATTCGTAATTTATCATATTTTAAGAAATATCACAGTTATTTACTTCTACATAGAGATTACAGTACATATTTGTACATTCAGCCATCAATTTCTAACAGTTATCAAGGAGTGTACTGTCAGCTCTAATGATTCATGTTGCCTTGCAAGTTTTTCAAACTAGCTAAATATAAATTAAACTGACAACAGAGATAGTAAAAAATACGATGTCAAGACACATACATGGACTGCCATTATTGTGCAGAGTGTACAATCAACCCTGACAGTGCTTTTTTTTTTTTTTGGCCGACACCCTGACAGTGCTGTTCATAAGCTCTATTCACTCCAGACCAGGCATTTCATTGGAAAACTCGCAATTCCAAGAACTGCTTTCAGTTGATAAAGCTCTTTGCAGTTATTTTCTTTTAGCCTCTGGACTTGTATCAAGCTCAAAAGTTTAGGGTAAGACGGGGAGTTCCACCTTATCAAAGGAAAACAAACTGACTCGTCCATTCTCTACATGACAAAACTTCAGAGGAATACTGCCACATTGTCCCTCAAGGACTCGAATTTCTTCTCTGGATGGTGGATGGCAGCTCCTAGAAAGAGGAGGGAAGAATCATTACAAAATATATCAAATTAAAATATGTATTAAAGTAGAACACTATTAAGCTTTTTTCTTTTTTGCCAATATTAAGCGTTTGGTAGAAATGTGTTATTGTGGACACTTGGGTGCCATAAACTATTTTCTGCATGGTAATTTATTTATCAGCCTTCCTACAACAAGGTTTCGTCACATGCAGATTCTAAATCTTCTGGACTAATAACAGTTTCTTTCATACCAGAGGTAGAAGAGATGGAGAATAAATGGCCAAGAAAAAGAAACAGAGAAGAAATTAAAGAGGATACTAGAAGCAGAAAATTCAACCACTAGATAAGAAAAGCTACTAAAATACTGAGAATAAGTAATGTGTAATTACCTACAGAGGCAGAGCATGAAGCTGGGATTGCCTGGAGAAGACTTTCTAAACTTGCTGTTTGGAAGATAGACATCAAAAGTTGGCCTTATTTCATTAATCTGCATATTACTGAATAATTCAGTGATGCAATTCTTATCTATTATATCCATTTCAACCAAGTCATTTTCCTTTGGAATGTCTTCAAGAATAACAGTTTTGACAGTAACTTTAAGGCCCTTCTTAGTCCAAGGCACACCATGCCGTCCGACTACATAACCAAGTGATTTTAGGTGTCTATAAACCTCAAAATGCTCCCAATTGCACCCACTCTCCTCACGTGCAATCTTCTCATATATGTCCTTCGAGGAAAGACATTTATCATTTTCATCCAAGAGAAGCAAAGCCCCAATTTCAGTTAAAAACCTACACAAAATTTTAAAAAAGGAAAATAAAAGTGGTAAATTTACCATTTTAGGGAGTCATCCCAAAACAAGTCCAGGATTTAACACTAGTTATTTCTGAGAATATGATTATCAGTTGGTATTAACACACTTTTTTCTACTTTCAACCATTAATAAGTTAACAACTGGGGTCCCAAATCCTTTTGCTCCTACACAATTGCCCTAAGCTAATCAGTAAGATCCAACTAAAAATTGCTTGCTTGCTTAAATTGTCAAGACAACCAATCTGTTACAGTGTAAAATATTCAAGGTGTATGAGTCCAATACTCCAATTACCAGTGAGTAACTGGAAAAGCTTTTACAAACTGATCTTATGCAAACAGGGATTCATAAGCCTTATAACAGGAACTAAATAAAAAACTCCAAAGTCAAGAGTCCAGACTGCAAAAACCATAGGCTTATTATAAAGAATTTGAAAGCAAAACAAAAAGAGTGAAAGTTAACATGAAAAAATTGTTTTTTCACCTACAAAATCTCCTCAATTGTGCAACAGGTCTTGCCACCACGAACTATCCCTGTTGTCACCCACATCTTCCCCTTCTTTTCCACAACCTCATCCATTCCTAGTTTATCATTCCATCTTGCCTTTGAGATGTCTTTCCTAAGAACCAATTCACATGCAATCAAGAGATAAAAGTTAAATTAACTCCTCTAACTAATTCATTCTCTGAAAATTCAATTGCCTACGAAATCAAACATAAGAACACACCTGAATTGTAATTTGGATCTGGAACCAATAGAAAAGTAATTCCCTTCCTCCTCCTCGTCTTGAACAATGACCTCAGTATCTGAAGAACTGTCCCAATTCTCAATATCCATACATAAAAAAATTTAGCAGCCTACTTTGCATTTGTCCCTGAAAAAAAGAAAAAGAAAAAGAAAAGAAACTCACTGATATCACTATGAGCTAGTAAACAAGACAGACATTGACTTACTAAGTAGATGTGCAAGCATAAGATCGCTTCTTAGGTTCTGTAAAAAATCCAGATGCATACATTTATATCATGAATCATGATTACATTTTCCAGGAAAAAAAGAGAAATTTAAAAACCCATTGATTGAGGAGAAAAACTGACAACAAATTTATCATCAAAGGAAGTTTAAGAGACTTCCCATTCCAATATACATATATGAATCTTTCTTTCTGCAAGATGCACAAACAGATAAAACTTACTTCAGATCTCAGGGGCCAGGACTGCATCGCTATCTATTACACTAATCTCCATAATCTCCAAGGGTAAAATGAAAGCCACATAACCTTCTGAGATTAATGCATAACTTCAACGTGTCAAGTTAACGTCTAAGTGAATAACTGGAAATTAGATACTGCAAAAAGGATACGTACTAGATTAAATATATGGGACTAACTCATAAAACTACAAACAGTATCATTGATTCCTTAAAAATCTAACATCATCAAACGGTAGACTAGCACTTTTGCTATGTCTAGAACTCAGATTTTCACAAGAGCAAGTAGCTCATAAAAGCCTTTCATCAAACACTAAACAAGCATGCCATTGATTCAATGGCTCCTTAAAATCAAACCCAAAATTGGAGACCCTTCTTCCAAGGTTTTCCTGGTAAGTACTTTTTTCATTAAAATTGTCCTAAAGTCATGTGGGTATCATAGATTCCAAAGTAGACGAACCAATATACAGGACTTCGAAGAAAAGTGAACATCTTTATTGCATCCCACAAAAACATTCGATAAGTTAAGAATTGATTAAAAAAAAAAGAGAGAAAAGAAAAGAGACGATGAGTTAAGAGAATTCTCATCACTATAGTTCTGAGGTGAAGAAACTCACTCACTGAGTCACTGTAAAGATAGAAGTTTGGCTCCTCCTTCTCCAATCGTCCGGCCACCAGGAAGTGCAAGAAACGGGCTCTTGCTTTTCCTTCGCTCCCTGTTCCAAGACGTTTTGATTTGGGTTCAAGTGGGCTTTAGAAAATTGTGCCTTTCAACTTTGGGTTGAGTTAAATTCAATCCGATAATCATGGGCCGAATTTTAAATATTTATTATTGAATTTTAACAATGTGATGATTGTGATCTTTATTGTGCAATCTTACTTGTGAAATAAGAATCTATTAAATAAAAGAATAATTTTATTTAATAATTTAAAAGGTGATAATATAAGAATAATTTTTTTAATTATTTTTTATATAATTTTTACATGTAATTAAATAAATAAATATATTTAATATCATAGATCTCAAATAAATAAAAATAATCAATTATTTAAATAATACATAAAATTATAAAAAATAGCATAAAAAATTTATTCCTAAATCATTTTTCTAATTTAAATTATATAATTTATTATAGTTTAGGTTATACAACACTTTTTATATTTAACAATTTCATCATTTTATTATTAGTGCAAAAATTTTGAACGCAAAATATATTGAGTAATAATTAAGAGAGAACTTTTATTTTACAATTTCTTAGTAAAATGCTCAAATCCACATCGAAAGTTAATAAGAAAGGATGGATCCACCACTACATAAAAAATGAAAACAAATCTATCTACAAAATTTTTAACTTGAAGAAATCATTTTAAATTTAATGTGTGATACTATTTAATGTTAGTAATATATTAACAATGAACTTATTAGTGATGGACAAATTATCGAATTATTGGTATCAAATAATGTCATATGTTAAATTTGGAGTGATTTGTTTAGGTTGAAAACTTTATAGATGGGTTTATCTTTTTTTTTTTTTTGTTTAAAGGTGAAACTGTTCCTATTGTCTAATTTTGAAGGTGAATTTGGACATTTTGCCTAAAGTATTTCTACTTGTCCCCTAACAAAACACGTTAAACTTACATTTATTATATATTTTTATCATTAATTTGTATAAAAAATTATAAAAATAAATTTTATTTTCAATAATAATACTATGTGAAATGATTTAATTGGATAGTTGATAAATTTTAAATTTACTTTTATATTTTTCATGTAAATTAATAGTAAAAAGGTATAATAATTATATTATTAACTTGTACCATAGAAAATTCCTATTATATAATAATTTTTTTATACAACTTTATATATCATTTAATAATTAATTCTTTTAATTCTACTAAAACTCCCGATATTATATATATATTTATTTAATAACATAATAAAATTATAAATAAAAAATTATACAAATAAATTATCCACGTATATTATCACCCCAACGTATATAACAAATTGGAGTACAATTTTTTCATCAAATGATTATGAATATCAGGTAACGTTTACTTCGAGAGATAAAATTTTTTTCCCTTCCCCTATTTTAGTTTCTTCTTCAGACCAAACATTTAAATTCGGCATACCGTTCCCTTACGGATTGACCTACCATGAGCGAGACAATGTCCTATTTGTATAAGAGTTTGCTGATATATCGGTTAAAATTTAATAAAAAACAAGTAATAAAGTGCAAATAGTAGATAATAATAAATAAATACTAACTAATGATTTGTTGTTCTGAGCGGAAGAAGATTAGTTTCCTTCAAACAAGATTTTGAATTCGAATATTGTGAATGGAGAAGTAAGTGCTAGGAGAGTTTCCTCCAAATGAGGTCCGACGCGACTCGATTCCGAATTAATTAGGATTCAATATGGTTGTCGGATCCGAAAGGCTAATACAAAAAAAAAAAAATAGATACCAAATAGTAATAACAAGTGATGCTTAGTCGATAATAAAAAGTGGATAATAAATAATAATAACAGATTATGATTGATATAATTGTTTGATTATATAATATTAGTGATTGCTATTTGATATTAAATGACTAAAAAAACCATATTTGAAAGTAATTAATTTTTTTCATTATTATTTTATTTGAATGGCAATTTTTTTCATTATTAAATTATTAAATTTATAAAACAATAAAAATAAAGTAAAATAAAATATAAAAAATGTGAATCATACACTCATTTCTATTTTCAACAGAAAAAATTATATTATTTTTCAATAAAGAAAAAAAATTTAATCATTTCTTCTAATTAACAAATTTTTTTTATAAGTTAATACAATTTTTTATGATAAGTCAATGTAAAAAATAAAAATGTAATAATTACTTTATATTAATAAAAAGAAAAATAAAAGAAATTAAAACTAATTAAATAAGTACTAATTAAATATTATGACAAAAAATTAAAAAAATTAAAATGAGAAATTTGTCAATAAAATTAAAAAATTATAATCCCTTAGTGGTTTAATATAAAAAGCTACTTTAGTAGTATTTTCGATCCGCTAGCAATTTAAACTTTAGCTGTTATGTGTTAATTTCAAACTATTAAATAAAAAGTTTTATTAAACATCTATTTTGTAATAGTTTTGGAATAAATGAGTTTACCAAACTCTTATTATTAGTAGTTTAGTAAAAAATACTAACTATTTACCCCTAACAACAATATCAAATAAGCCCTTGCTGGCTTAACTACTTGTAGTGATCACATGGCATGGTAATTTCTTATAATAATGAGGGAGTAATTTCTTTTTGTAATAGAAGAAAGTATTCTCACAAATTAATAATGATTTCTTATTTCTAAAATAACTCAAATTAAGGTCTTAATACTTCCATTTTGGGTGTGCTTAGAAATAGTTTTCTGTCATTATAATTGAAAGCAACATTATTATATATTATTTTTATTTTTATTTTAGTTGCACAATGGAAGATAATCATCTCCTATCCCTTATCCTACCCCATTAGCATGCCATACAATTCAAACTTAGGACCTCTTGCTTCCAGTGAAAGCGAAAGGAGATAACCACTGAACTATTTAGATTCATCGGCAAAAGCAACATTATTGAATGAATATGATATCTCATCAAAACCATTAAATACTCTCCAAAGTTCCTTTTGCTCCTAATTGAATTTGTTCAGTTGAATTGTCAAATAGCATATGTTAGCTTTCAAATTGGATTGTTAACGAATTAGCGGTCTAGGGATAAGTTTTTCTTAAAATGAATTAATTAAGAAATTGTAGATTCAAGTCGCAGAAATGTGTATAAAGTAAGTAAAGGGATAAAAAAAACTTCCCTCTTATTGTGTAACCAAAAAAAAAAAAAAAAGGGGGTTTTCGAAATGATTAAAAAGAGTCTCTTAATTTTTGAGTTTAGTACAAATTCTTTCACGGTGCATATCTACATATATTCCAGAATTTAAAAGGTGTGACCACATTGTTTACATCATTAGCTTCATATCGAACTTCATAAAACAATTCTGAGATTGTCGCAACAAAATACAGTTAATTTCATGAACTGGCTCTTTTTTTCTTATTTGGTGTTGTAGTCAAGATGACTTCAATATAATTTGTCCATATTTTAAAATTAATTCTTTTTTAATTTAATTAAAGAAAAATTATCCGACTCCAACTTTCAAATCTTAGTGGTTCGCCTTATACCTTTAAGCGCTTGGGTTTGTTGGTTTGGGATTTCAAACTCTACCGGCATCTTGAAAATCTCATTTCCCTTTCCCCAAATTGTATACTGTTTAAAAAAAAAGTTAAAGAAAATTTATCCATGTCATAATTAAGAAATTCATAAGGAGCTGCCCAATAGTCCATGTGCTGAGACATCAAACTTGATGGGTATCAAGTCTTGAGTTCAAGTTTATGTATTAACATCGTAAACTGTATCCCTTAACGATCAGCAATCCTTCGCAAGAGTCATTAAAGATATATATATTTTTATATTTTACTCTTAAAACTGACTTTAAAATTAGTTAATATAGACTAATAGTTTATTTGATTTGAAAAAAATAGAAAAAAAAAAAAAACAGAATGAAAAAGAATGCCACCTATACAATATGAATATGATACATATATCTTACACAGTTGCATGCTCTATTATAAACTAGCGAAAACTGTTAATTTTAATAGCACAACTAATTAAAACCGTTAATTTTAATAGCACAAATAAGAAAACTGTTAACTTTAACAGCACAAATAATAAAAATTATCAGTGTGTAACAAAATGTGTAACAAAATATGTAACTTTGCAGATTGTACCAATAATTTTTTTATAAATATACTTCTAATGTTACTAATTACTTTACCGTCTAATAACAAAATAAGCGGCCAAATAAATTTGGTTGACAAATCACTAATAGAAATGTGCTGCGGAATGCATTCAATGGTTTTATTCTCTCCTGCAGAATAATTAGGTTTCCATCATTGTCTGCCAGCATTAACAATTAACATCCATTTTATGTTCTCATTTCAGACTCAATCCATTTAATAATGGCAGTGCACAAACAAAAAGACAGAAATACTCAAACATCCAGCTATTATATGCATACAGATACAGGTATATATTGCAAATCATTTTTATATATGTGGACCTGCAATATATATTTCGTTTTCAATGACACCAATAACTCCAATTTCCACTTAGAATTCAAAACCACATGGGGTGTGATTACTGCTGTGGGCTTACGGGTTTCAAAAACCAAAAGGTTGAGGAAACCAGATGTTGGGAAGAGATCATTGCATGAATTATGCATGCATATATATGCCAAAATCTTTTCTGTTTATGTTTGGTATGTGGATATTTGCTGGCCCTATGCTTATTGTGTTTTGATTTGAATTTTTTCTCTCACAAGGATTGTGTTACGCTTTTTAAGTTTCACATATTTTTACGTTGAAAGACAATAAATTTTATCAAGATAGAGTATCTTATATTATATAATTGATGCATTTCATATTAATCCACTAAAGAAAATTTTTTGGATGCGTATCAAGGAGGACAAGAAGAATCTTTTGGGAAGGTGGTGATATGCTTAGCTTATCTGGTGGCAACTTGGGTTAGGCAATGGTGCGAGCCAAGAGGGACCCTCAAGTATCACACTTTAAGCACAATATCATGATGGAAATATA